TTTTTTTTTTTTTTTTTTTTTTTTTAATAGCAGTTTCAGTTTTACATAGAAACTGAGCTGAAAGTGCAGAGAGTTCCCGTACCCTCCCCGACCCACATACAGTTTCTCCTGTGATTGACACATGACATTAGTGTGGTACATTTGTTAAAAGTACGAGTCGATATGGATATGTTATCATTACCTCACTTTTACATTAGAGTTCCCTCTTTATACTGCACAGTTCTGTGGGTTTTGCCAAATGCACAGTGTCGTGTATTCACCATTATTACACTGTCATGCAGAATAGTTTTGCTGCCCAAAAAGTCCTCTGTCCTCCACTTATTCATCCCTCCTCCCTACTCTCCCTCATCCCTAGGGATCCTGGCAACCACTGATTTTATTTTTTCCATTACCTCAAACATTTATAACTTCGTTGTGTTGGAAACATTCAAAATTCTCTCTTCTAGCTAATTGAAACTATATGATAAGTTGTTGTAAGTTATGCATAAAAATTTTTCAAACAGAAGCTTGTCTAATCAGATTCTTCCTTCAACTGCATTTGTTAGAATTATGAAAAGCTGTCATTTTTTTTTTCTAACTCTTCTCCACCCCAACTCATTGAGTTTTAAATTCGGTTTAGATGTACTGGCTCTTTGTTCCAATTTTTGGCCTCTGACTGAAAGCTGAAACTTTGCCTTCCTTCCTAAATTTGATTACAGATGAGTATCTCTGCTTCTAATTATGGTCTAAAGTAAAGATAAGGCACACTTTCCAGACTGCAAAACCTGCAGGGGTCTATAGTTAACTGTGTTTAAAACGCAGTGTTAAGACTTTAACAATTTTTTGTCATTGTCTTACCCAAATATTCAATGACAGATTATTAAAATTTGTAAAGTCATGGCATATAAATAAATCTGTGGCTTGAAGTAAAATTTACACTTTTGCAGTGAAAATTTTACATTTTGGTAAAGCCTCGCCATGAGAACCCTCTTCCTTCATTCAAAAGAAGGTACAGGCTTTGGGATTTGATAGAGTTGGGTTTGCCTTGGCTCCACTGATTTCTGTGTTTGAATTTGGAAAAGTGAATTTCCTTACTTAGAAAATAGATGTCATAGTATCTACCTCATAGACTGGGTTCAAGTATGTAAAGCTAGGGCTTACAGACCCCTCGAGTCTGTTGCACAGACTGGGTTACAAATCTCCCACATACAGGTCTGTGAGCTAGGTTAAAAAAAAAAAAAAGGTTCTGTGAGCCATAGGTATAGAAAAATGAATGGGTTTTATTCAGATCTAGGAGCAACTGTCCTAGTGGCTTCTCTGAGAGTTCTTAGCAGCACTGTGGATCAGAGCTGTTAGTCTTTTATACTTAAGTCCACAACCCTGGGCACCTGGGTGCCCATACACAACTTACATTAAGCAGTAACAAGGAACACCTGAGGATATTTACAGCAAATGCTCGGCAAGACTGAACATCCAAAGGGCCCTGACATTTTCCTATTTTTCCCAACAAAATATTAAATAAGATAACATCGAGCAAATACTTAGCAGAGCTCCTAGCATAGTAATCACTTAATAAGTGGTAACCCTTATTTACACAGTGTTTCCCAGAGCACCTGGTAAATGATCAAACACAGATGTCTGAGCCTCTTTCCTAAAGATCCTGATTCTGTACATCTGGGGTGAGATCTAGGATTTGCATTTCTATTAAGCTCCCAGGTGATACTGAAGCTGCCTGTCTACAGACCACACTTTCCAACACCTCACTCTAACCAACTGAGCTAACCAGCAGCCCCACAGACCACACTTTAAATAGCACCGATTTAAAAGATCATCCCACTTTTTCATACACGTTCTTGTTATTTTCATGTCATCAAAAGACCTGTGAGCAATATGCTGCTGGATGCCATCCAAGTAATTTACAAAGAAGTTTATAATATAAAACAGATACTTAGATAAAAGCCATCTATTGCAGAATGGAATAAATCTTCAAGAAGATTAAGCACTTACGTCATATACCCACAAGAAGGAAAGCATTTTGAGGTTGGTGAGTGAGTTGATAATAGCATGCATTTTGAAAGTTTAAAAAAATTAGAAACATCATTTTAGGTATTCCAAATCTTTATCACCATACCTTTCTCTCAACCTTTCTTAAAGAAGCAATTTAGGAAAGAGAAAAAAAAACAAATACTACGTTTTAAGTACCCTCTATTAAAAGCAAATTATTTAAAACTTACAAAAACAAAACCAAACATCTAAAGAAAACCAAAAACTCAATTACAATTGAACCAAATGAGCACTCCAAGCATTCTGTAAGCTCTACCTTATGTTGAAGCACTAAAAAAAATTAATAAAATAACAGAGAGAGAAAAAAACTTCCAAGAATATTGATCCAATGTCTAATTCAGTAGTGAACATAAATACTGTTTAGTAGTGGATGATTCTGAAATTAAGATCCATTTACAATTTTAGAAATAATTATATGATGACACAGAGCTGTCAGTACTTATAAAATATCTTGTTATATAATAGCCATAAAATCACAGAAGAATGTTGTAGCCTTGATACACTTTAAGTGAAGAGAGGGAAAAAAGCTTACAGTAATTATATGAGTTATTTCCTGAGTTAATTCCTCAAAAGGATGTACTACACTTAGTGGCAGTCTTTTCTACCAGGCTTCATCCAAACTAATTTATTTGAAAACCGCTCACAGGGATAGGGCTGTGGGGCACCATTTTAATAACTGGATGCATAATTTGTGCTACCACATGCATATATCATTTCATCAAGCACATGATTATAAAGTCAAGTTTGACAGAACAGAATTTCACTGCAATAGAAGTGGATACAGGAATGGAGTTCATCTATTCCGGCTTTCAACACATTGGCTTGCTTTATGGACATTTTACCCACACTAATAACGTTGGCATGTGTCTGGTTCTTCACGGTTGGCATGCAAGAGATGTTCAAACTGGGCATTAGACTTTTTGGTTGATAAACAGAGACCCCACAATTAGAATCTCCTTAGCAGGTGTCCATGGTTTGACACTTGATTGTCTTGAGCAAGTATATTCTTTGACACACAAAGCAAACCTGCAAACATTGCCTTTTGCTATATGCAGATAGTGTCGTTTTTAAAAAAGTTATAGTACTAAAAATTGGAAATAGTTGAAGGATTGAAACAGAATTAAAATATGGAATCATTCATCCCCATTTAAACTCTCTGTGTTTATAAAGGACAGGGTGAGAGGAGAAATGTGAATGCCCAGTTAGTTGACACAGCAACAATTCGTGTCTGTTTCTTTCCCTGTCAATTCTTTCAGCAAAATGTAATGATCGTGTTTGGCTGCATTTTCATTCCTCCCCTCAACTTTTATATTCACATGAAATTAATGAACATTCCAACTCTGTGCAAAATGAAGAGACAAGGGGGTTGGGAAACTGCTTAGCCACACAGACAAAGCCCATTTATATTCAAGCTTTGAAACACTTACTTGAATTCTGATTTACCAATATTTCTTCTTGGCACCCAGCTTATATTTATATTTAATTTTTGTCCCAAGTGTGATTTGTAAGTGATCGGTAGCAATGGAATGCTTTTCAAAGGTGGACAGGAAAGGGTGGAAGGGGAGAAACATAGGGTCTGCTAATCCAGCAGTCAAATAATTGACCCATGAGTAATTAAAAGTTGGCCGAGGTTGTGGAAACAAGACTACCCCTCATGTGATGGCAGCCTCAAGTCTCCTTTGTAGTTTTTGGATGTGAGGCAATGAGCCAAATGTTCTGTCTAAACTGTTTGGGAACTGCTTTTAAGTTTGGCAGTCTTGGAGAGGTATTATGTGACAAGTTATTCCTTCAGTGCCCTCAAATAGCACAATGGCCTCAACGAATTAGAGCTGGGGAACTTAAGGAAGGAAGTGGTTCTAAACTGGTTTTCCACCTCCATCCATTTCTATGTCAACATATTCCATTTAATAACAATTCTCTGGCAGGAGAGGCAATTTGAAAAGCTCCTCTTCCCCTGTCTCTGTGTTGCCTTTTCACCCAGCATACACACATTCTGGGTTTTAAGTGAAGGACTCTATGGATGTACGTCAATTATGTAAACATATGAAATGAGCCCTGTGGTGGTTGTGTAATGGGTTGTTGGAACTCAATAAAATGTACCATTCTTACTGTATTGAGGATCGCTGACAGTGGGAAAGCATCCATGTAAGAGGCCACCATTTCCATCCCTGTTGTCATAGGGAAAGGCCACCAGATTCAATGTGGTCCTCACTGAAGTGCCACACTCCTCTGTTCAAAGAGGCAACCGTTACAAATAGTACAGATGTTCCAAAACAAAAAGAGAGAGAGAGAATAGGCTTCATGTACAGATAAGTTTGAAAATCACTGCCTACCATTAACCCCATTGTACAGATTAACAAAACATATTTGCATATTCCAAAGATTTATGTCTTCCAGTAAAGGGATCTATTCACCTTCATTTAATTTAGCCTTTCCCTATTATTTTTGACCATAGGACACTTTGAGAATGCTGCTTAATAATTCTCATTTTTCTTTTTTTCAAGGGCTCAGGAATATGTATCAGGTGATTTTCCTGTTTATTGCTTTTCTGTAGGGAATACTGCTGAGTGTCAGCCATTTACCTAACACAGTCCAAAATTATGCCACTGAAACCTTCTGCTTTAGAATCCAGCTGGAATTTTAGAGGGAGCCTCCAATACATTGGCAAAATACTTTTTTAAAAAAGAATTAGAGTTATATTAAGTTATAAGGAGATTGATCTGGTTATTTTTGTTTTTAGAACGCATATTTTCTCCTGATGGGAAGATCTACATAGAAAGCCAAATTATAACCACCAGTTTGCTTAGTGAACATGAAGTTAAAGGAAGAAGGGTCAATTGCATTTTCTGAATAGCCATCAACATCCAGTTACCATGACCTTTGCCTTTGTCTCCACTGAAGGACGTGGTAACTGGTCACGACTGTTTCAATGACAGTGCTAGAGATATTTTCCCTCTCTGTTTGCCTCTCTGACTCTCAATTTCTTATTCTTATTTTATTATTTTTCAATAAAGTAATGGATGCATATAATTCAAGAAAGAAAAATGCTGAAGGACATCTATCTCTTGTCCCACCTTTCACTTTCTACCATGTAGGGTTCTGTCTTTACAGAAATTGTCTTCTACATCTTTTGGATATTTCTTCAGGTATATAAATGATATGCATATTTCTTAAAATATGCTAATTTATGCATTATCTATTAACATCTCTTTATTCTTGATAAGGATTCTATTTATCAATGAAGAGTATTTAATTATATTGATATACCATAATTTGTTTACCCATTCATCAGCTGATGGACATTTGAGTTGCTTGTAGTTTTTGGCTATTGAGAACATTTGTGTGGAGTTCCTTGTGTGCTGTCTTCATTCCTCTTGAGTAAATATCTAGGAGAGGGATTGTCGAGTTTTATGGTAAGTGTGTGTTTAGCTTAATAGGAGTTGTCAAGCTGTTTCCCAGAGCCCTGTACCATTTTGCATTCCCATCAGCAGTGTAAGAGAGTTCCAGTTGCTCCACTTCTTCAGCTCTTGGGACTGTCAGTCTTGTGGATAGACTCTTAGGCTCGTTTCCCTGATGTCCAAGTGGTATCACTTCCAAATTTGGTACTGCATGCCAGCCCTAGGCCTGTTTCCCTGGAGTTGAACAATGATATGTGTCCGGATCTGCTAACTGGTGATGTTCAGGATGAAGGCAAGCTCCAGTGTCCAGAGGAACATGCTGATGGATACGAAAAGATCATTGATCATGGTCTTGACTGGACCTTCCCCAGATTTTAAATAACATACAAAACAATTTCTTATGGTTCTCTTTCAGGCTATTTGATCATTCCATGGAAGGATTTAAAAACTGGGAGTTTATGACCATTCATTGCTGGGGAGAACGAGCCGCTGGTGACTGGATCCTTGAAGTTTACGATACTCCTTCTCAACTGAGGAACTTCAAGACTCCAGGTGACAAGTCCCTTTCTATACATTGGTTTGCTATGTAGAAGAAAATGATGGAATATAAAAGCATTTTGGCCAGACAGTGTTTCACACTTACATCAGCATCTTTTTTCATGTGATTCATTTCATGAGTGCTTTGAACGGCGCCTATTCCAGTTCTTAGGATTACCATTTGAGAGGTAATAGAGGTAATAATGTAAGGATAAGAAATAAAGAGTAAATATTTAGATATAAGTATAGGACAAAATGTCACAGCTGTCAATTGATGTTTCAGAATAACTCATATCTGAACCTCATCTCTAACCAGCTTCCCATTCTTTCTTTGTCTATAAACAAGCCAGCCTTGTCCATCTGCAATAGGTGAAAGAGGATACAGGCTTCTGTCATTATCTTTTCTTTTTTTTTTGGTTTTCTCCAAATTTTGTTTCAGAATAACTCATATCTGAACCTCATCTCTAACCAGCTTCCCATTCTTTCTTTGTCTACAAACAAGCCAGCCTTGTCCATCTGCAATAGGTGAAAGAGGATAGAGGCTTCTGTCATTATCTTTTCTTTTTTTTTTGGTTTTCTCCAAATTTTATTTTCAGTTTACACAAGACATTGAGGTTGGCCTATGCCACCTAATCTGGTTACCACCAAAGAAAATGAGTGATGGTATTCTGCCCTGCATGAGCCCAAAAGCCAAGGAAAAGGAAAAACTTGATATGTAAAGCATGGGCATTATAACGTTAACAAAGGTACTTTCAGGCAGTCTCAGACTCTGTTGCTGCACACGATCTGTTTCCCTCTTCATGCTAACATATCAAGCTTGTTTGTGACATAAAATAAGGGACAGTAAAAATCCAGCATGGGGAGGGAGAATGTATTACCTAGTATTGCCCATGACAGTCCTACAGGGTATGTGACTTAATAATTACTGGTCTGTTTGATCACTACCCAGCTCCCACCATCCATGGACACCTCCTCAGCTGTCAGATAAAGGTCTTCTCAGTGCTCTGCCCAGTCCATTTGCAGAAGAACCAAGCCTGAGGGAAATGTTTGGACTGACATCCAATTCTAGCCCTCTACTGATTACAGAATAAAACAAGTGGGGCATTCTGCAACTGTAAGAGTGTGTATCATTCAGATACTGCTGGCTGCATAGCATAGAGCAGAACACAGATAAAGTGTACATTTACCAGACTTTGGTCTGGCAATCTGGGAAAGTTACTCATTCTGAAAGACCCATTTTGGACCATACATTTTGGTTATCCCTTTTCCCTAATTCTGTGATGTGGTTCGTCTGTGTTGCCACAGTTGTCCCATAATAAGGGAAGTCGAAACTGGAATGGTATCCAGGTCACAATCTATCAGGATAACAGTTTTGTTAAAGAGCATCCGTGTGCAGCTCGCCTCCAGCATGCAGCCTGAATATAACGGTTGCCAAGGTTTTATCCAAGAGTCAAATGTTTGTCAGTAAGATAGGGTTGATAGAGAAGACATTCAGATCCCATCCATGGACACCTCCTCAGCTGTCAGATAAAGGTCTTCTCAGTGCTCTGCCCAGTCCATCTGCAGAAGAACCAAGCCTGAGGGAAATGTTTGGACTGACGTCCAATTCTAGCCCTCTACTGATTACAGAATAAAACAAGTGGGGCATTCTGCAACTGTAAGAGTGTGTATCATTCAGATACTGCTGGCTGCATAGCATAGGGCAGAACACAGATAAAGTGTACATTTACCAGACTTTGGTCTGGCAATCTGGGAAAGTTACTCATTCTGAAAGACCCATTTTGGACCATACATTTTGGTTATCCCTTTTCCCTAATTCTGTGATGTGGTTCGTCTGTGTTGCCACAGTTGTCCCATAATCAGGGAAGTCGAAACTGGAATGGTATCCAGGTCACAATCTATCAGGATAACAGTTTTGTTAAAGAGCATCCGTGTGCAGCTCGCCTCCAGCGTATAACGGTTGCCAAGGTTTTATCCAAGAGTCAAATGTTTGTCAGTAAGATAGGGTTGATAGAGAAGACATTCAGATTATAGTGTACAGCTTCTAGACATTTTAACTTTTCATAATCTACTTAGTCCCCAGGACTTTCCTCTCTCCTGTCCTCCGCTTTTCAGTCTCTGCTATTGTTCCTGCCATGGTGTCACACAGGATCGTGGCAGCATGGCAGCTGGGCTGAGTGGCCCTGACCATTGGGCAGCTCCCAGTTGATTCGTCAGCAGGCACCACTGCAGGGCTCTTTTATGTCAAGAGATCCCAGAGAAATAAACACTGTCAGAGTGTGGCAGTTGTATACCAAGAGAGGTGCAGATCTAAAGAGTGCCTTATCTATTGAGATAGTGACTCTGCTCTTTATCATCACCAGGCACCGGCAATTCTACTCCCCCCACAAGAGCTGACTGCTCCGAAAGGCATACTACTAGTTAACCAGGCATTGCATACAAGGGCCAGGGGCTATGAGTATAAATCTCTCTGCTGTCAAGGAGTTCAGTGTCTATCCAGAGCTTTCTATGATTATCTGCGTTAAAAGCTCTCTGCAGTAGTTCAGATAATCTAGAGCTATCTATTTCATAGCATTCGCTTCTCCTTATACTATTTAAATGTTCACATTTAACCCCAGTCACCTCCAACCATTTTAGAGATGTTCTTTTTATGCTAGAAGAGAGATATCCTAATGCCACTGCTGGCCTGGAGTCAGGAAGCTGTAATAGAAACATATGGTCTTTGTGTATCCTTCCTTCTACCAACCTATCATTCCAGGATGAGTCATACCTTTGGTAAGGGACTTTTCACTTTTCTGATTATGGCTGTGTGTGTGTGTGTGTGTGTTTCTATGGCATACAGTCCTGTTATAGGTTTCTCCCTTTCTGGTTAATGAGGGATTTCTTTAGTGGGCTACTAGGAATTCAGTTGGAGATGCAGAATTTTTCTAGCTCAATTAAATTGTAGACTCATCCACAAATATAGAGGTTCCTGGCTCCAAACTGAGTTTATATTTACTGTTTCTTCCCATTTGTTTATTATTAAAATGCATAGTAGGAGTGTTTGGGGGAATTTTTGTTGTTTTTTGTTTTGCACATTAAACTTATATATGGCAAAGTGCATTCATGTGTTAGCAAGTAAGATGGATTTTTCTCATTGTGTATTTATACAGGTATATCTTAGCAGCATGTTTCAGTATCAATCGCAAAATCTTCTATAGAATTTAGCAAATAGAAAAAGTGGTAAAACATTAAAAAAAAATGACCAACCAAATAGGGCAGTATTTGATGTGAATCATGGCAGAAGTTCTAAGGCAATAAAATTACATAGTAAGTAAAAAATAAAAAGAGTAATTGCCCAGCAAGGATATCCTAGTGGGATTATGGTGTATTTCAGAAATGGCACAAAGGGAAGTAATCAATCTTGAGATGGCACTCTCCAAAGCTGTTACAAGGATAATTTTTTAGATCCAAAATGATCTTAAGTAAAATGAATCAGGTTTTAGGGTGACTGATGGATGGGATGACCTATAGTGCCCTTGTATTTATGCTTCATATATGTTTGAGACTTGATTTTCTGACTTCAAGAATTTTTAAAGCTAAACAGTAAACATTTGGTCATGCTATGGTTTCATTATTTTTTCTCAAGGTAAATTGAAAGAATGGTCTTTGGTCCTATATGGCACTTCTGTGCAGCCGTACTCACCAACCAATGAATTTCCTAAAGTGGAACGTTTCCGCTACAGCCGAGTGGAAGACCCCACAGACGACTATGGTGCAGAAGATTATGCAGGTGAGCTGGCTTCCAGTGGCACACAGCCTTAGGAAAGAAAGCTCATGTTTCATCCCACCACAGGGGGTAATGTAATATAAAATTATAATTACTACCCATATTCTGCTATATTTTCTTCCATCTTATTTTCCATACCCCCCAAATATTTGTATGCATGTATATTGGTGTATTCATATATTCATATCCTCAACTCTTCAAACATGTTGCCTACAAAGGTAATAGTCCATACTGTGATAGTACTATAATGCATTTAGTCCATAATTTGGGATGTTTAGTTTGCTTAGAGTTTTAAACTATTTTAAACAAGGTTTGGATACACATCATTATTTATCAGTCTTTGTCTATTTCTTCAATTATTTCTAGAGAATAGAGTTCTGTTCTGAAATTTACTGCATCAAAGGGGATAATCAGTTTTAGGGCCTAGAAACATTTTGTCACATTGCTACCCAGACAAGATGTACCAGTCTACACCGTGACCAGATGTGTGAGTGTTTATTGCACTCATTCCTGCCAGCACTGACTGGAAAGAAAAAGAAAAGTAAAAAAAGAAAGATTCATTTTTAAATTTTTATAGTTTTGATTGCTAGGAAATCTAAACATTTTTCCTCTGTAGTTCTCTGAATTAAATACAACTGTCTTTCACCCATTTTTCTATTCAAGGTGGCAGTACTACTCTTCCCCATTTATAAGAACTCTTGGTATGTTATTGTCTCTGACATCGTCTTATATTTGCTGAAAACGTATTCTCAGTTATTATTTGCTTCCCAAATGTAGGCTTTGTTTTGTTTTAACAGAAAAAACTACTGGAGAGTGAGGTTTATAGTTTCAGATATAACATTTATGATTTTTTTGCAGAAGTTTTATCCTTTAAATATCAGCTAAATATGCACAATTTTTTGTAATCTTTTATATTTTACATTTGTCCATTAATTCATCTGGAACTTATTTTGGTTTATAATGCATAGTGTGAATTGAAGCTCTGTCTTTGTTTTTCAAACAGACTAACATCATTGGCTGAGTAACTATCAGTATTATTAGCTTAGGGTGCTTCCTGTATACAATACAGTAAGTTCTTACGCCAGGATCTCTGCTGATACCACTTTTTCTGATTCATCAATTTAATAATTTTCAAACCAATACCACCCAAACTGTTTTATTTATTTTCATTTCATGATATATTTTAACATTTGTAGAACATCTGCTTCCCATTTTCATAGCAATTATTGCCATATTATTCTTCCAGATGAATTTTAGAATGAGTTTTTTTAAATCCTCCTTTAAACGTTCCATTGGAATTTAATTTGAATTTACATGCAATCTCATGGGAAGAATTGTTTTTATAATATGCAATCTTTCCATCTAAAACATAGATCATGCCCCATTTTACTGAATTTTTTACATTTTATGTAGTTTTCTTCTTATTGGCATTATACCTAAGAATTTGGGGTCTTGTTGACCTTCTAGTGGAAAACAGTCCATGCTTTCTAACTAGTATATGCTGGTAACCATGTAGGAAATCTATTGATTGCTGCATATCTGGCCACTTTGCATAAGTCAGTCATTAATTTATATGTTTGAGACTTGATTTTCTGGGGTGGTTTAGGTACTTCTGTGTCTGTGAGTTCCACATTCATGGATTCAACCAATTGCAGATTGAAAACATTCCCCCCACAATTGTGTCTGTACTGAACATGTTCATGCTTTTTTTTCTTGTTATTATTCCCTAAACAATACAAGATAACAGCTATTTATATAACATTTACATTATATTAGTTATTATAAGTAATCAAGTGATGATTTAAAGTATATTGGAGGATGTGCATAAGTTTTGTGCAAATACACCATTCTATACCAAGGACTTGAGCATCTTCAGATTTTGGTATTCACTGGAAGTCCTAGAACCCATTGAGAAACAACAGTATAGCTATATAATCTGCAAATTGTCTTTTTGTCTTTCTCATTATATTTCTGATTCTTGTCTTGTTGCATTGGCTACTGCTTCTAAGAGCATTCAGTCCTTCTGCAGTATGATGTGTAACACTTAGTGGACAAAACTTCTGATGATGAACTGTTTGTAAATAGAAGTTTGATGTACCTTTAGATGAGAAATTTTTTTGCAGTTTTGAGATTTTTTTGTAGATACTGAAAATAAGATTATTTCATGAATCACTTGAACAGAATATCTTAAATAGACATGTAGTTTCTTTTATTCTAAAGTCCCAGAAACAATTATATACCTGGATAATTAAGACCATCTGAGCTAAACAGAGCCAGATTGTGTTAAATTTTGTCTTATTTTTCTTTGAGCTTATAACATTACCTTTTATTTTATAATTAACAAACTATTTTGTCTTTTCATATAGGGGAAGCACATACTACTATGCTCCATGTCTTTAGATACATTTTTAGTAATAGATAGATATTTAGTAATAGAAACCTATTACTCTTTGCCTTATTTAAATTTTAGTAATGTTAAGATTCTGAACAATTATACATCATGCATCTTTGCAGTTTTTTTGGTTGCATCTCTAAAACATCAACATAGGCACTTGTAAGAAAACAAAAACAATTATCTCATTATTATGCTACAACCTACAATACTAAACTGCATCTGGGACAGTTTAAGATTATGAAAGAAACAGCACAGCATATTAACTTGCCATGCAGAGCCCCCTTGGGGTAAATATCAAGAATAAATGTTTTGGAAGGTTTTTTTTTTAAATTTTAGAAATCATCTGGTGAAAATTTAGGGCCACCCATGACTCCATTCCTTTGGAGCTGTGATTTTTCACCTTTATTTATAAGTCAGCCTGATTAGAGACACAGATGGCATTATCATAACCAGATCCCTGTACTGTTTCATCAAATCCCAGTGGCAGTGAGACCCACAGCTGGCTGAACTTCAACCCTTACACAGCAGAAACACCACTGCCCTGGTATATGATGGTAGACAACTAAAATGTTCCAAGTTGTACTAGCTGCGGAATTTATTTAGAGATCGATTTAGTGCTTTGGGGAAAATAGAAATAAACAGTGCTGTCAAATAATTTTTGCAATTAATCAGAAATATATATTTCAAGTCTGCAGCATTTTGAAATGACTTATGTCTGTTCAGATCAAGAGGTCATCTCTAATCCATGATTTGCTATCTCTAAGCAAGAGACCTGGACTAGGTATCAGGACATATGTTGATTTCAACTCTCCTAGCCATGTGACACTGGGCAAGCTACTGTAACTCTTAGAAAGGCAGTTTTTTCATCAGTAACATTAAAGTGTTTGACTACCAGATTTTTCTCTAAGTCATTCCACTCCAGTTCTAATATTTTATGTTTCTGTGATTCAGTAATTAAAGAACATAGTCCCATAATGACTAAAGGAGACCAAAGTTCAACAGTAAGTCCTTTTGATTAAAATAAGTAGGGTTCAAAACATTTCTGGGACCATTGACTTACTAATTCTACATTTCATGCAATTTGTTTATTGCTAGTTAAAGTCATACAAATTTTCAGTGGGAAGGAGCTTGAGATCAAATGTCCCAAAATATGGAGAACAAGAAGAAGAAAATTAAAAGCTTCTATGTCATTATAAAGCTTTTTTTTTTTTTTTTTTTTTTTTGCTTACTGTGCATTTTCTCCAGTTCTTTAGCAAAGAATACGTAGCAGAAGAGATTAGGAACCTTCATCCCAGGTCTGGAATTCTTTAAGCTCACTCGCATTTTTTGAATTTATATGTCATTTTCTTTTGTTGAGTTGCCCATTGGCCTTTTGGTAGGATGCAATTTTAAATCTATTACCTGTGCCTGAAGTACCTGCTTTGTAATCCATGACTAGATGCTAATAAGCTCGTGCCAGATGCCATAATGATGTTTTTTGCTGGTCACATTATTTCAAAGGTATCCAGTGGCTTAATGACCTTGGACAGGACAGGCAATCTGGTCCAGGCATTGAATAATATTTTTATTTTTTGTCAACAACCTGACTTCTCATTTTTCTATATAAATCTTATATTTTTATCATAATGCATATTTAATTGTAGTTGGTTTTTCCCAGTTGCCATTGTTCATTTGAATTATAAACTATTTGTTATCTCCCACACAGCAGCCATATGTGCTTTGAAGACCAGGCCATGAATAGGATTTACATTCTTGATACTTAGGCAGTGGAGGTTGCCTAAGAGTCAAGAGTCAAAAAAAGTCAAGTTCATCTTTGGGCTTATGGTCACATTGACGGTTATTCCTCTATCTTAAGGAAGTTCTCTCTGCATAAGAAAAAAAAAATGTCTTATTTTATACCAAATTCAAGGTAAAGATGACCTGCTCTAAAATCATTTTTTCCATGAGTTGTTCTAATCTCTTTTGGAAAGGTCCCTGTGACCCCGAATGCAGTGAGGTTGGCTGTGACGGGCCCGGGCCAGACCACTGCAATGACTGTTTGCACTACTACTACAAGCTGAAGAATAACACCAGGTGAGAGCAAGGCCAAGTGAGATCCCTACAGCAAGTCCCAGGTGACCCAGGAGTTCCGGGAGGACGAAGAGTGTTTGTCCAGCATCTTCCTGTGTTCTCCCTCCAGGATCTAAGCACAGAAAAGCTGCGGTTGCACAGGCCCACTCTCTCCCTGTGCAATTCAAATTGGAGAAAACCGTACTGAGTTAAAAAATGCAAAGTGTTCATGTGTCCTGTGAAACTTGTTGTGCATCATAAATATATACAGTTTTAACTTGTCCACTAAAAAAGAAAAGGAAAAGTCTAGAGAAGAAGACCAGGCATGTGCTTATTAGCTAGCCCCTCCTCACCAACCCTCCAAATGTGAGAATAGACATTCGTAGTTTCATAGGACACTAAATCAAACTATTTAACATGCATTAGCTCACATACTTTTTGTGTGTGGTGAGAACACTTAAAATCTATTCTCTTCACAATTTTCAAGTATACAATATTTGTTATCAACTCTCATCGCAATAGATCTCTTTAGCTTATTTGTCACTACTACAAGCTGAAGAATAACACCAGGTGAGAGCAAGGCCAAGTGAGATCCCTACAGCAAGTCCCAGGTGACCCAGGAGTTCCGGGAGGACGAAGAGTGTTTGTCCAGCATCTTCCTGTGTTCTCCCTCCAGGATCTAAGCACAGAAAAGCTGCGGTTGCACAGGCCCACTCTCTCCCTGTGCAATTCAAATTGGAGAAAACCGTACTGAGTTAAAAAATGCAAAGTGTTCATGTGTCCTGTGAAACTTGTTGTGCATCATAAATATATACAGTTTTAACTTGTCCACTAAAAAAGAAAAGGAAAAGTCTAGAGAAGAAGACCAGGCATGTGCTTATTAGCTAGTCCCTCCTCACCAACCCTCCAAATGTGAGAATAGATATTCGTAGTTTCATAGGACACTAAATCAAACTCTTTAACATGCATTAGCTCACATACTTTTTTTGTGTGGTGAGAACACTTAAAATCTATTCTCTTCACAATTTTCAAGTATACAATATATTGTTATCAACTCTCATTGCAATAGATGTCTTTAGCTTATTTGTCCTAATTGAAGTTTTGTGTCCTTTCTATCCTGTTGATACTTAATGCCGTGGATACATTTGCCCTTCATGAAAATGCCAGTGCACAGGCCAAACTGGTGCTTTCCCACATTGCCCAGCATTCAAGACGTCAGCATCCCTGCTTGTTCCCATGGTTCCGCCCTGGGCACTGAGTGGACCCCTGTACCCCTGGTGGGCCCTGGCTCCTGCCTGGAGCTGTGCAGATGTGTTTCCACAGGGGCGGGGCCGAGGAATGGTGACTGTCCAATCAGAGCCCATCCTCCCCTCCCTATGCCTCCCACACCCCGCCCACCTCCCTCCACCTTTGGGCGAAAACTCACTGTGGGGAGTTGACCCGTCCTCCCTTCCCCATGCCTCCCACACCCCGCCCACCTCCCTCCACCTTTGGGCGAAAACTCACTGTGGGGAGTTGCCCTGAGGTGCCTCCATACTCCAGTTACCCAAACAGATGCAGAATATGTTCAAGTTCCTCCTTAAGTCCACGCTGGAATTCCAATTTCTTAAGGAAAAGGCCTTTGGCTATCTCAGCGCCTCTATGATCTCCTGCACTTAGCAAAATTCCCAACATTTAATTGGAGCTCAGTAAATATTTGTTGAATGAATAAATAAATTAAGCCCTGTCCTTCTGTTATGCACAAAGAAATTATTTAAAAGAGTAAAAAAAGCTTTCTCGTAAGCAACATAAATTTAAATATATTTATATTAATTTAGACAACAGCAGACATTCATCATCACCACCCGCACATACACATACAGGACCCATATGACAGACAACACACAAAAATAGAAGTAAGCCCTTGTTGAGTGACCTTTTTCCATAAAAATCATGGCTCCCACATATTGTCTCTGATTCACCACCGCGACCTTCCTCTTGAGACTCAGTCACTAGCCATGATTAGAGTGAGATGCCTGACTTTTGGGTGTGGCATTGTGACTGCGCTGCTTTTCTGCAGCCTGAGCAGGAGGAAGCTTTGACAAGCAGATGTGGCCTGTTGGTGTTGGCGTCCTGGTTTAAAACTGATTTGGGGGCTGAGGCCAGCTATTTGCTCAGCATCTCCAAGAGAATGCTGAGCACCGAGTCGCTGGTGACGCTGTCTTCTTATCATTCTACAACCAGGGTCTGTGTCTCCAGCTGCCCCCCTGGCCACTACCACGCCGACAAGAAACGATGCAGGAAGTGCGCCCCCAACTGTGAGTCCTGCTTTGGGAGCCATGGTGACCAGTGCCTGTCCTGTAAATACGGATACTTCCTGAATGAAGAAACCAGCAGCTGTGTTACTCACTGCCCTGACGGGTCGTACCAGGACACCAGTGAGTTGATTTCAAATATTTAGGTTTTAGAGAAGAAATGTGGGGCTTTCATTTGAGTGACCTTGGGAGGTATATTCCTCCTTCATGATGTCTGGGCTTTGCTTAAAATCAAACAGGATCTAACCACTCTGTTTTAAGGGAACAGTTTAGAAGCTGTTTGTAAAAATGCCTGCAACTGTGTCAGGGGATCCTCAAGACCATCCTCAGATTCAGTGATTTGCTAGGAGAACTCTCAAGACTTGGGATATAGTCATACTAGTGTACTCAGAGTGATGATTACAGCAAAAGGAAACAGTAAAATCAGCAAAGGGAAAAGGTGTATGGGATGAAGTCCAGAGGAACCAGGCACAGGCTTCCAAGAGTCCCCTCTCAGTGGAGTCATACAGGACATGGTTAATTCCTCCTGCAGCAATTTGTGACAACATGTGTGAAATGGTGTCTACCAGGGGACCTCATTGGAGACTCCCTGCCCAGGGTTGCTGTTGGGGTTTGGTCACGTAGGCACCTTTTTGCCTGGTAGGTACCAAAATTCCCGGACTCCTAGAAGGAAAGCAGATGTTTACCATAAACCATATTGTTTGTGCCAAACGGTTCAGCACAAACAATATGCTTTATGGCCACTCTTATCAGGGTGGTGGGAACCCTCCCAAAATCCAAGTTCCCAGATGCAGCCATGGGCCAACCTTATAAGCAAGCTTGCAAAGGATAGCACCCAGGTCTGCTCATTTCTGCACATTAGCCAAACGGACATCAGGCCTGTGTGACATCAAAGCATACTTTTCAAAAAGCTTTTAAAATATGACTTTCTTGCAAATGTGGAATAAACATGTGTCAAAGGCTTATTTAATTCATTAATGAGAGAACATGCAAGGTGACAAATGAGTTCAAAGATGATCAGGTCCAGTAGTCCACCAGGACAGGCAAAATGAAATCCTTTTGCTAAATTACAGACAAAATTGAATAATTTCCCACATGACAATATAACTAGAATGGGGGAGGTGTGTATTTTTATTAATGGACAGCAATCATTTGCAACTGTACCAAACAAAAACCTGTGCATTAACCTGTAACTTCACAGAGTTTGAGCCCTAATCAACTGTCATTAGCAAACAGACAAAGATGCATTGTCCTAGAGAATTAAGTAATCTTTGGGCAGATCTGTTAGATAGTTCTCCAATGAGGCCCTGAAAAGGGCCGCAGGTATCTTTTGCTTTATTTCTGAGTTCTGGGTAATTTGTCTTAAGAAGGATGTCACACCCTAGCATACAATAACACTAAAATTTTACGTTTCTGCACAACCTAAGAAAAAAGAACTCATGTTTAAAAGAAGAGTTGTTTTTTAAAAAAATCAGACAAGAAGTTTGAAGTGAATACTCTCGCTTTTTAAAAAGTTAAATTATCTCTTGATTCAAAAGCAGGCACTTCTGTAAAACACATGGGGTCTCTCAACTTACCCTTTAGAGCAATGCATATGGATTCCTCTGTAGTTCTTATTGGACCCAAAATTTGGAGCATGAGCTACAACTTGATGGAGAAAGGAGAAATTGGGAGGGAGTAGGAGTATAAGGTATCCACAGAAATATGCAGTATTCCTTAGGGGGCGGAGTCAAAATTCTATCAAAAAGGCACATTCTAGAATGTTACATAACAGAATCAAGATAATAGAGTTAGTTCTTCCCCAGAGCCTGGAAGATAGGTGAGGAAGGCTATTCAAACAATTACTTCAAGTACCAGGTAGTGTTGATACCAGCGGTCTGTGTATCTCTCGCCTCCTAAGTCATTGCTTTTGTTATACTTTCCTCCTTTAATGAGTCCATTTATATACAACATAGTGATCACATGTGATCCTGACTAGTAATTACTGCCAACACTTTACAGTGCTCTATGGTTCATATCGTTCCCTTGAATAATTTCATGAACTTCTCCAGACAAGCTGAGAGGTGGGCATCATTGTCATCTCCCTTTGCCAAGTGAGAGAGCAGAAACCTGGAACTTGCCCACTGGAGGTGCTAAAAGCAGTATGCAAACCTAGGTCTTCTAACTTCAGATCCTCAGCCATGTCCAGTATCCTCAGTGACACGCTGGGGAAGACCATGTGATAACTACCAGAAGATTTGCATTTCATGCTTTGAGGCTCAGTCTTCACGCAGTAGGTCCTCGTAGGGATCCATTAAAGCTGTGTTTCTTTATGGAACCCTGAAGAGTACTAACATTTAAAGAGAAGTCACAGGAAGACAAGCCTGTGAACACGTATACACTGTGGTATATCCACTTGCCTATCAGAGCAGGTACTGGGTCTCTAGCAAAATTTTGTCAAAGGTAAAATCCCTTCCTTAATATACAAAATTACT